TCACACACACCCCACCACCCGGTCCGTCCCTGCCCTGCCCAGCTCTTAATCTCCTGCCCTGCCTCTGGTGAAGGTTGGGTGTGTGTGTGTGTGTGTGTGTGACACTGCTGGGAGGCTCTGATGCCCTTGTTTGAAGGGCAGGATGGAGCTGGGGGGGCAGAACAGACCCAGGAAAGCCTCAAAGTATTTCCATTCCCCCCCCCATGAAGATCAGCTGAAGTGGGCTGCACAGGAGCTCTGCTCTGCTCTGGGCATGTGCTGATGGGGAGGGGTGGGGGGGCTGAGGGTGAAAAGCTGCAGCTCCTCCGCTGAGTTGAGGGGATGCTGGTTTGTGGGCTGCTGGGAGCATCTTGCTTGGGGTGGCTGACACAGACATGATGCCTCCCCCCCCCCTGCACCGGCACTGACAGGGGCTGTCCTGCTCTCCAGAGGCTGGCCTTGGCCCAGGAGAGGGTCCAGGACGGTGGGGTGGGGGAAAGGCCGCTTAAGCCCAGGGGTCCAGCAGCTCCCCATGCCCTCCTGCGCAGACAAGGCCAGCGGGAAGGGAAGGGGTGGCCGGAGGGGGTGCGTTTCTCCCCCCGTGGGGCAGGGCAGGAGCCCTTGGCCGAGGGTCCTTCACGTGGTCTTTCCTTCTGGAGGCCCCCCCCGGTCCCCTCCAGGCCACCCACCCCTCTCTTTCGGTGTGGGCAAGCCCATGCCTGCCTGGCTGCTGTGGCCTTAATCCCAGAAAGTATGCGCTCCCTCTGCTCCCAAGGCCAGGAGCAGGGGACCATCCCGGGGCCTCCCTCCCTTCCCGGTTTCAGGATAAGCCGGCTTCCCCACTAGCACTCCCTCCCTCCCCTGGGCTCCTTTTTTGGGTGCAGCCTCACAACCAGAAGACGCGTGCAGCTTAATTTCCTTCCCCCCCCCGGCCATCCCTCCTTCCCTCCCTCCTTCTCTCCTTCTGGAGTGAATAACTTCTCACACGCTTGGCCTTGCCCAGGCACCTCTCTCGGTGTGGATGGGGGGCCGGGTGGGTCCTTTCCAGCCCTGGGTGGGCTTTGGGGAACACTCTGCCCGGCAGCTCCTCCACCTCGAGCCCTTCCTCGTTCCCCAGCGAGGCCCACTTTGCTCCCGGTGGGCTCTTCGGCGGCTGGAAGGGCTTGCTTGGGTCTCGGGCGTGGGCCAGCTTTGTGGCCAGAAGGCTCAGCGGCCTTTCTCTCGGCCCCCGTCCGAGATTAGCCAGTTGGGGGTGGGTCTGGGGCTCCACAGACACCCCCCCCCCAAATTGTGTTTCTGGACATAATTGGAAATCCATGTCTTGTTCGGGGTTCCAAACACGGCCGGGAAGGGCCTGCGAAGCCCTCCCTGTTCCGGAAAGCTGCTTTTCATAGCTGGGAAGAGCATTTGAGGCGGAGGAGGAGGAGGAGGAGGAAAGGGTGCCCTCGATGCTCTTCGCAGGCGCCTCATGAAAACACCAATCATCCTGAAATGTGAGCAGAAGAACAAAAAGACTCCAAGGGCTTTTGTGCTTTGTCCTGGCGCACTCTTGGTCCTAGGAGCCCTCTGGGTGTGGGTGGGTGGGGGTGTATGTTTTTTCGTGGAGTGGGGGGAGGAAGGTATTCCAGGGTTTTCTTGCTGTTCTTGGCCTTCCCTTGATTGTGGTGCCTGGAGAGGCTTCAAGGTCACTCAGAGGCACCCTCAGAGTCCTTGGCGGAGGACCAGCCCCCCCCCCCAAATGTGCTGGCTTGTGAAACTTCATTTTGCCATGTTTAGGCCCGTGTGTGCGCAGGACAGAGAGAAGGAGGCACATACTACCCACAAAAGGAACCCCCCCACACTTTAGGATGATCGGTGGGAGTGGGGGGGAAGAGTAGCTGGATAAAAACTGAATGGGAAGCAATGGTTCTAAATTTTATTTGCTTTTCCACATTATTTCTATCCCACATTTCCCCTCAAAAGAGCCCCAAAGCAGCAATTTTAGGTTTGCCTACAAGAGCATCTCTCAGCAGATGCAAAGACAATGCAGCCTTGTCTTGCGTGGCCTGATCCTGATGCCTGGGCATGCTGCTGCGAAGGCCCCTCTTGAGCCCTTTCTTAGAGGAAAAGGGCAAGAAGCTGGGGTCCTGGCTTTACTCCACTTGGCACAGGAGCCCCAGGGGGTCTGGCCCCTGATCTTTGTGTGTGTGTGTGTGGGGGGAAACGGGCTTTGGGTGTGTGTGTGATGTCTTGCTCTTTGTCTAGCCCTTCGGAGCCCTGCTTAAGCCCCTCTGTTGTGGGGGTCGGAGTTGCATGGGAGGTTGTGGGGAAGGAGCGCCGGGTCTAATCTAGGGCTGCCTCCTGCCTGCAGCTAGACGAGTCCTTTCGCCCACATCACGGCCTGAAAGCCGGTGGCCCTTTCCAGACAAGGTGGTTTTGCTCCCTGCTGCGCTCTCTGCCCCCCCAAGACAAAACGCTAGGGGCTTTGGGGGAGCAGGAGGGCGGCTTCCCTTCGTTTGCCCATCCAGGGAGGGCTGCCTTGGGGGGCGGAGGGGAGCCAGGGACAGGGAGGGCCTTCCTCCTCTGCTCCCCTTTGAGCCCTCCCGGCCTTCTGCCTTGCCTCTGCTGGACGTTGGCCCTTGCGCGCTAGTCCTCCTCCTCCACCCCCAACAGCCTCCCCAGGGACAGGCGCTGAGCCTCCTCCCGGGCAGGGAACTTTGCCGGCTGGCCCAGAGACGCAGGGTTCAGTCCGGTTTTCTGTGGAGAAGTGTTCTGTGGCGCAAGCGCCCACCTGGAGTTGCAGGTGGGGCCCCCCTGTGCCTCCGTTGAGACCCCCTCACCTGTCACTTGTGTGAAGGAACCCGGATGATGGTGACTCAGGCCCCTGCCTGCCCACTGGGACACGCCGGGGGGCTGGCCCCTGCCTCCAGGGCCTGGGAAGGTTGAGGAAGGAGGGTGGGGGGCTTCCACCAGAGGCCCCTCGGGGTCCCCCTCTGAGGCCTCTTTCTGACCCGGTCGCCCTGAGGAAAGAGGAAAGCGCCCGGAGCGCGCTCTGCCCTCTCAGGGGTGTCTGTGTGTCTTGGCCTGGTGAGCCACGGAGGAGAAGGCGTTGCCGCGCCTGGCTGACCTCCAGCCGCGCCGTATGCGGAGCCCACCCCCAAGCGCCATTGCTGTTCTTGGGCCGCTGGGAGTGTGTGCTTTGGCCAGGCAGGCCAGCAGCGCCCCGACGGTCCTGGAACGGCACTCTGTGTGTGTTGAGGGGGTGCGGTTTTCCTTTGGAACTCGCCTCCAGGCATCAGTGTTGAGGGCCCAAAGTGCAGTGGGCCTGAAGGAGTGACCGGGGGTTGTCGGGCTGACCGCACACACACACACACCCATAGCTGGGCTTGGCCACTCCTGGCTGGTCCAAGAAGGCTCCTCTCTGGCCCCAGAGGCTCTGAGCGCCTCCACCGCACGGCTGGGAAGAGAGGTCGGCAGAGGCGTCTCCGAGGGTCTGCGCTGGCTTCTCCTCCCAGAGTCTGGAAAGAAGACCCCCTTGGGGAGGGGAGCCGCTGCTTCTCGACTCACCATCCCCCCCCTCTTTTTTCCAGGTTGGCTCTCGGTGGTCCTGGCGGCCTCAGCAGACGCCTGGATGTGGCGGGCACTTGATGAGCTGGCTGCGGGTTGGCCCTGCTCGGAGGGCTGAGTGGTTGGCCTTCCATTCCGCTGGCCAGCTGGGCAGGGGTGTCTCCCCAAAGACTGTTGGGTCGTGCCCTCTCACCGGCACAGCCGGGCTCCCCAGCAGGACCCGGGTGGCTGCACATCTCCCAGAAGGGGCTGCGGCAGCGCCATGTCGGCCAGTAAGTTTGGCGTGGCCGACTATGCCATTTTCGCTTTGCTGCTGGTGTTCTCGGCCGGCATTGGGCTGTTCCACGCACTGAGCGGCGGCAAGCAGCGCACGGTCCAGGAGTTCTTGCTCGCGAACCGCAGCATGAGTTTCTTGCCGGTGGCCCTCTCCCTGCTGGCCACCTTCCAGTCGGCCGTGGCCATCCTGGGCGTCCCCGCTGAGATCTTCCGCTTTGGGACAGAGTACTGGTTCCTCGGCTGCAGCTACTTCCTGGGGCTCCTGATTCCGGCCCACGTCTTCATCCCCGTCTTCTACCGCCTGCGGCTCACCAGCACCTACGAGGTGAGTGGCTGGATGTGGGCCTGGAACCTGGGGTGATGGCGGAAAAACTGGTGCCCAAATGGCCCAGGGAAGGAGCAGGCATCCTCTGACCCCCCCCCCATTTTACAGAGTTGTAATGGGGAACGGGCTGTTATTTTCTTACCCCCACCCCAGCCCTCAGGATGATGTTCCGGCCGAGTGCCCAGCAAAAGGTGGGAATGCCTGCATGGAAGTGTGGCCATGGAGACGGTGGGGGGGCAGCTGGGTGGAGAATGGGGGCCCTCTCGGTGGCCCTGCCACGCTGCCTGGCCAGCTGCGCCGCGCGCCCCTGCACTTCCCTCTGTGCTTCAGGATCTTTGAAGGAAGCAAGCGGGCTTTGCCCTTTTCTTGAGCGGGAAGCTACTGGGTGGCTCTCCCTTAGGGCGAGGGGGGCGAGGGGGCGAGGGGGCTGAAGGCGGGCGAGGCTGTGCTGAGAGAGCTCCGAGGGGCTTGCCTGGAGCGCCAAGCCAAGGTTTGTTCAGCACTTGAACACACAACCCTACACAGATGTGGTGGCCTGATCCGGTCTGTTTCGGCACCTCAGGACTGCCCTGCCATGGAACGGAACTGCAGGCTCTGCGGGGCTGACCACCCTCACGGTCCCTGAGGAACTGTGGGGGAAAGCAGAGTCGACCAGGGGGGGGAGGCTCTCTGATGCCCTGTGCCCTCCCTGCCTCTGGCTGACTGCCCAGCTGCCGCTTCCAAGCCCCTCGGACAGCCCTCCCTCTGTGTGTGTTCTCTCGGCTGGTGAGCAGCCGTGATGTGGGGTGCCTTTGATGTCTGCATGTGGAGCCTGCGTGCCGTGCTGGTCCAGGCTCTGCCAGTTGTTGTGAGCGTGCGCGCACATGTGTGCAGGAACACTGCCCCAGCATGCTGGGGTTCTGCAGGGGAACACAGAGGGGGGTCGTCTATGGAATGGGCATAGCTGTGGGGCAGATTCCACCCAGGAGAACGGCTTTTCCAGTGTGGGGTCCCAGAGCAGCTAGCTCACGGCCTCCGCTCCCCCCTCCATCTTGCACCCCCTGAGCAGAAGGTTTGGCCAGAGCATTTCCTCCTGACCCTCCCCCCCCCGCTTGCGGCGCTAACACTCCCTCTTTGCTGCCTTCCAGTACCTGGAGCTGCGTTTCAACAAGGTGGTGAGGGTCTGTGGGACGGCCACCTTCATCTTCCAGATGGTGAGTAGCGAGGGTCCCTCCTGGGCTGGAGCGACGGGGGGGGCTCCTTTCCCCCCCTCCCCGGTGCCTCTGCTCCCCTGCTTATCCTACCTGGTCCTGCGTTGGCCAGCCAGGGGTCTCAGGAAGACGCCACAGCAGGACCTGGTGTGTGCATGTGTGTGTGTGTGTGTGTGTGTGTGAGTGAGTGAGTGAGTGAGTGAGTGAGTGAGTGAGTGAGTGAGTGAGTGAGTGAGTGAGTGAGTGAGTGAGTGAGTGAGTGAGTGAGTGAGTGAGGGAGTGAGGCTGTGCCTCCTTCTCTGCTACCCCCCCCCCGGTTTTCTGTCCCATCTCCTGTTGAACCGTTCTCTTCCTCTACAACACAAGCACCTCTTCATGCCATCCCTATCCACGCCCATGTGCGCGCGCGCGCACACACACACACACACACAGACACTTGCTCGTTCCCTTCCTTTTTGCCTCTCTCTTGAGGGTCTTGCCTGGGCCCCTCCCCTCTCAGCCTAGAGAAGCCCCTTTCCAGCCACGGCCCCAGAACCGCTTCTGCTCCCTTGGGGGACCCTCCTCGGCCCGGGTGGGCTGCTCTCCTGCCTGAAGCCCCAGGGAGGAGCCCCAGCTGCCGGTCAGAGCTGGCCACGCTGGCTCTGGCGGTCTGGGGGCCTCGTTGGCGGGAAGGGGGGGCTCTCTCTCTTGGCTTGCCCATCATCCCACGGGCCGCTCGCAGCTGAAGGAGGGGGGAGCCAGGCCTGGCAAAGCAACCGCAGGGCTGTCTTTCTCCCCACAGGTGGTGTACATGGGGGTGGTCCTCTACGCCCCCGCCCTGGCTCTCAATGCAGGTGAGTAGTAGGGGCTGATCGGGGGGGGGCTGAGCAAGGGGGGGGAGAGGGAGCACCGATCCTCTCACAAGGGCTTCCTTTTGTGCTTAGGGGGGAGGGAGTGGCTCTTTGCATGGACTGCTCCCCCCCACCCTGATTCCATGCCTGGTTCCAGGTGGAGGTGGCCAGGCTCTCGAGAGGGGCCGGAACCCGATTTGCCCCGGTGGCAGAGAGGTCTGTGCCTTCCCTGCCCCACAAGGCTTCTTTCTGCTTCACTGCAGTGACCCATTTTGACCTCTGGATCTCTGTGCTGACCATTGGCCTGGTCTGCACTTTCTACACTGCTGTGGTACGTGTTCTTCGCCCCATCTGTCTGTGGTGGAAGAGGCATTTCCCCCCCCCCTCTCCATATGACCTCCACCCTCCACCCCCCCATGCCTCTCTCCTGGCATGATGGGACCTCTCTCCCCCCCCTTGTGCTTTGGGGCCCATGGGGTCCGGTGCCCAGGAATCCTGCTGTTCCCCCCCCCGCTGACCAGCCCTCCCGCTTTCCCTCCATAGGGCGGGCTTCGCGCAGTCATCTGGACCGATGTCTTCCAGACGTTTGTCATGTTTGCAGGACAGGTGGCCGTCATCGTGGTGGGCACCATCAAGGTCGGCGGCATGGGGCGTGTTTGGCAGCTGGCCTCAAAGGAAGGCAGAGTGTCTGGCATCGAGTAAGTGTGGGACCAGTGGGCCCAGGCAGCCCCGTCCTGGCAGTGGGTGAAGCCCCATCCCAGGCCCCCTCCCGGGCTCCCCGGATTTGCTCACCTGCTCCAGACGCAGCCGCTTTTGGGGGGGGGAGCCCGTGTTTCTGCCACCCGTGACCTTGTGCTCCTTCCCTCTTCTTCTTCTCCTTCTCCCTCCTCCTTCTCCCTCCGCAGCCTGGACCCCGACCCGTACGAGCGGCACACCTTCTGGTCCCTGGCCTTTGGGGGTGTCTTCATGATGCTGTCTCTCTTTGGGGTGAACCAGGCCCAAGTCCAGCGGTACCTGAGCTCCCGCACGGAGCGCCAGGCTGTGCTGTGAGTGAGTGGGGCGGGCTCAGAGAGGGTGTAGGGCAGAACCGGATTGGGGGGGGCTGGTTTGCGCCCCCAGCTAACGGGGCCCTGTTCCCCTTGTTTCCCCCCCCCACCAGTTCCTGCTATGCCGTCTTCCCCTGCCAGCAGATCGTTCTCTGCCTCAGCTGCCTCACCGGGCTGGTCATGTTCGCCTTCTACCAGGAGCACCCCCTCTCCCCGGAGCAGAGCCGAGCCAAGCCCGACCAGGTCTGTTGGACTCCCATCTCCCACTCCCAAAGCACTCCCGGCCTCTATCCGGGTGCCATGGCCGGCTCTGCCGTTGGCCAGAGTGGGGCGGCCGATCTGGGGCGCTGGCAGGCTGTCTCCTGCAAGCATCTCGGGCGCAGGTGGGAGAATCTGGACGGTAAACCCATTTGCTCCCCTGCCCTGAGCACTGGGATGCCTTGAGCCAGATGTGTCCTGGGGGGGCAGATTAGTGGGCAGAGACCTGTCTTGGTCCCCTTGTTCCTCTGCCTGCCCCCCCCACCGCGCTGGTGGACGTGAGAGGCCAGGACCCACCTCCAAGGGAGTGGGTGGTCTGGGAGGAGTTTGCACCTGTGTGTTGTGGGGGTGGGGAGGGGGCTGTGGCCCTCATGCTGGGGATGTGGCCCCAGCTTTCCCCCTGATGCTCCAGGCTGTCATAGAAGCACAGAGTAGCGGAGTTGGAGGGGGCCTCTAAGGCCATCCAGTCCAACCCCCTGCCCTTGCTCGAGGCAGGCATCCAGACCAAAGGACATCATCGGCCAGGTGTTTGTCTTTAAGTTTCTCTTGAAGGCCTCCCCCCACGTGGGAGCACTGCTCACCTGTGAGGGTTGATAGTGAATATTGGAGCAGTCACTCTCCCAGGTGCCAATGGCCGGGGGGGGGGGATGCCTTTCAACCACCCACCCCAGGCACGCTGGATCATGGCCCCGCTTGTGTCTCTGCCGTGCAGATGGTCCTCTACTTTGTGATGGATGTGCTCCAGGAGGTGCCCGGCCTCCCCGGTCTCTTTGTGGCCTGCCTCTTCAGCGGCTCTCTGAGGTGAGCCCCCCCTCCCCGGCTGGTCCCTTTCCTCCCAGCACTCTAGAGCAGCAACCCCTGA